CATGCAGGGACAGGTGGGACATGCAGGGACAGGTGGACATGCAGGGACAGGTGAACATGCAGGGAAGGTGGACATACAGGGACAGGTGGACATGCATGAACAAGTGGGACATGCAGGGACAGGTGGGACATGCAGGGACAGGTGGGACATGCAGGGACAGGTGGACTTGCAGGAACAGGTGGACATGCAGGAACAGGTGGGACATGCATGAACAGGTGGGACATGCAGGGAAAGGTGGGACATGCAGGGACAGGTGGGACATGCAGGAACAGGTGGAACATGCAGGGACAGGTGGACATGCAGGGACAGGTGGCCATGCATGAACTGGTGGGACATGCAGGGACAGGTGGGACATGCAGGAACAGGTGAACATGCAGGGAAGGTGGACATGCAGGAACAGGTGGGACATGCAGGAACAGGTGGGACATGCACGAGCAGGTGGACATGCAGGGACAGGTGGACATTCAGGGACATTTGGGACATGTAAATTAGATAAAATTATAAAAATGCAGGAACTTGTCCACAAGCCGCCGGCCTGTTTTTAACTCCAGACAGAAGGCAGGTAGAGAGCCGAGGAACACCAGTTCCCACCTGGTGGCTGGGCTCGATCATGGAGATCTTCATGATCTGACCGAGTCCTCACTTGACTCCTTAGGTCCAGTTCAGGTTCCGGTCTGGTTGAGTCTCCATCAGACCCACGTCTTGTCCCGGTAGTTCATCGTATTCTACGAAGTCTTCTTATTTTCACTGATGCACAGCGTTATCGTCCTCTCTTTGTCCTTCAGTGTTCCGTCTCTTGAACTTTTGGTTGATGGAGGTTTAATTTATTAAGACTAAAAAGAAACGAGTCCAGACGGGTCTGAAGCCACCTTCTTGAGGTGAACTGCTTCCTTACTCTTGACCTCCTGCTGCCCTTGGGTCAAACTAACTCACAAGGCCTCGGTTTGAAAACTTGGTGGGTCGTGTTGACCCTCGGGCCGCAGCAGGTTCAAGTCCCTGAGCACCAACAGAACAAACAGGAATCTGAACTTCTCCACTGCATAACCAGTTTGTCCACATCACTGGGTCTGACGTGGCTGCTCTCCTTCCACTCTGCCCACCAGGACGTAGAAGAAATGATTTTGAAATGAGGCACAAATGGCTGAATGTAGGGACACGAGCTGAAGGTTTGGTTCTGATCTGATGTCCCAATGTGTCCTTAAATATCATCTTATTCATCCATACGTCCATGTGTTCATCCATCTGCCTATTCATCCATCCATCTGTCTTCAGCCGTCTGTCTTTCTGTCCTTCCTTCCATCCGTACATCTGTCCATCCATCTGTTTATCCATCCATCTCTGTCCGCCCATCCATCTGTCCATCCATACATCTGTCTGTACATCTGTCAATTCATCCATCCGTCTGTGTCCATCCATCATCTGTCCATCTTTCCAGCCATCTGTCTATTCTTCTGTCCATTTATTCATCCATCCATCCATCCATCCATCCATTTCTCCATCCGTTCCTCCGTCCGTCCTTTCATCCATCCGTCCATGTGTTCATCCATCTGCCTATTCATCCGTCCATTTTTCTGTCCATCCATCCACCTATTCCTCCATCTGTTCATCCATCTATTATCCATCCATGTATTAGTGCATCCATCAATCTGTCTATCCATCCATCCACCTATTCCTCCATCTGTTCATCCAGCCATTCGTACATCTGTCTGTACATCTGTCAATAAATCCGTCTATTCATCCATCCATCGTCTGTCCACCTGTCTATTCTTCTGTCCGTTTATCCATCTATTCCTCCATCCATCCATCCATCCATCCATCCATCTCTCCATCTGTTCCTCCGTCCGTCCTTTCATCCATCCGTCCATGTGTTCATCCATCTGCCTATTCAACCGTCCATCTGTATTCATCCGTCCATTTTTCTGTCCATTCTCCTTCCATCTGTCCATCCATCTGTCTATTATCCATCCATCTATCAGTGCATCCATTTATCTATCCATCAGTCCTTTCATTTGTCTGTCCCTCTATCCATCCATCTATCCTAGAATCTGTCCATCCCCCCCCCCCCCCCCCCCCCCCCCCCCACCTGTTCCTCCTCCTTGTTTACTCAGACATGTTTGTCCTCTAAAGGTTGTTGACCTTGTGGAGTCTCGTCTCCTCGGGGACATGAGGCCGACTTTCAGCCGTTCACTTTTTTTTAAACGTTCTGTTGAAACGAGTTATTTTCATCCGTTTCTTTTTTTAAACGAGTGTTTGTTGGAAGGCGCTCCTCTGAGTCTCTGCGTTGGTGTTGCAGGCCCGTCCTTCTCCGTCGCCATCGGCTCAGATGCCAGCAGCGTTTATCCCTGGGAGACGGCCAAGATCGAGTGTTCACTCAGCGTCTCTGGACCATCTCCAAAAACTGGTACGACTCTCTCACACTCCTGAATACTTCCTCCCATACCATTCTATTCCATACCATTCCATTCCATACCATTCCATACCATTCCATACCATACCATACCATTCCATACCATTCCATACCATTCCATACCATACCATTCCATTCCATACCATACCATTCCATACCATTCCATACCATACCATTCCATACCATACCATACCATTCCATTCCATACCATTCCATTCCATACCATTCCATTCCATACCATACCATACCATTTCATACCATTCCATTCCATACCATACCATTCCATACCATACCATTTTATTTATAGAGCACTTAAAACAGCAACAAGGCCAACCAAAGTGCTGTACAGACAGAACAACAGGCAACACACAAAGCAATATACAAAATGAAGTAAATCAGAATATAGACATAAAAACGATGCAGATAATAAATCTGACAACTAACCTTTGTGAAGCAAACGGGTTCAAAACACAGATCATCTGGTGTTGAAAGCTACTGAATAGTAGTGGGTTTTTAAACAGGACTTGAAAACCAAGAAGGGGGGGGGGGGTCTGTCTCCCAGCAACTCCAGAATGTTTCTGGATTTATCAGTTTTTACTTTTTCTATCTATCCATCCATCCACCCTCCCTCCCTCTTGTTCATCATGTTTACACTCCAACTTCCTCACCTGACGGCAGCGAGTCTTTGAAGCCGTTTTACACCAGCAGTGACACACACACACACACACTCGAGTATCAGCTGCTACAAATGTTTATTTTGAAGCTGTAGTTGATGAAACGTTTATCTCAACTGTTTTTTCCTTCCACTTCCTGTTTGCTCTTATTGTCATCAGATCGTCCTTCTTTAAATCAAAGACTAGAAAGTGGATCTTAAGAGAGATCAAAGAGCCTTTGGGTTTTTGTCTTTCATACTACGGTTTGCTGTTTCAACTTAAAATGGGTTATTTAAAGTTTTCTTTTGGCCCACAAATCATAATCTTATTTATCTGCCTCTACATAAACGTCAGATGTTATTTCTGTCAGTTCGATGTAATGACGTCATTTTTCTTGTTTTATTTTAGATTTTGTCAATTATCTTATAAATAAATTTGTGTTTTTGATGTTGAGTTTAGTAAAACCGTCCAAAAGTCTTTCTTCTCAGCACCTCAGGTATCTTCATGTTTACGCAGCTTTGGTTAATAAAATAAAAATATTTTTTCATAACTAGTTAAAAACATTACCAGCCAAAGAGCAAAACGATGGAGGTCTTCTTCAACTCCACCTCAACTCAAAAGCTTGACTGTTGAACCTTGGTCACAGTTGGGTTTTCCAGCTTGTGGCGTAGCCTTCTCAAATCAGAAAGCATGCGATCGAGGTGCAACTTGCTGAGGGACATTTCATCAAACATTTGTGGGGGTGAAAGCATAGTTTAACCTGCCTGGATAATGCTCTGGGGGGTGGGGTGTCAGCCTCAAGAGTTAGGGTTAGGTGAGGGAGTTCAGGTATCTGGGCGCCTTGTTCCTGAGTGATTGTAGGATGGAGCGGTAGATGGATCCACAGCTCAGGGCCTCAACTTCAGTAATGAGGGCGTTGCTTCAGACCGTCGAGGTGAAGAAAGAGTTGAGACAAAAGGCAAAGTTCTGTATTTACCAGTTTGTCAACGTTTCAACCCCCACCTGTGGTCATGAGGTTGGGATCAGGACCGAAAGGACTAGATCCTGGATCCAAGCTACCCAGACAATCTTCCTTTGTAGGGTGGCCGAGCTCAGCCTTTAGTGAACCCCATCATCCGGGGGGGACTCGGAGTATAGCTGCTGCTCCTCTGCATCAAAAAAAGTCAGCTGAGAAGGTTCATCTGATCTGGACGCCTCCCTTTAGAGGTTTTTATGGCACACCCCACTGGGAAGAGATCCAGAACTCTTTGGAGGGATTATACATCTTCTCTACCCTGGGAACACATTGAGGTCCTTCAGGAGTGTCTCTGGAAAGGAGGAGGCCTGGGTCTCCTGGACCTGTTGCGTTGGCGACCCGTCCATGGATAAGCGGCTGGAGATGGAGAGGTATAATTTTGACCCTGTGAGGATTAGAGAAGATCTGCAATAAATTCAAACTTGTGCACCCAGTTCTTTATATGTTGTACGATCATTCCACCCAACTGTTCAACTGAATCACTACAATCCTTAAATTAATGTTCCATCCATGCGCACGATGAGAGGATGGAAACTGGGAGACTGGACAGAACAAGAAAACATTTGGAAGAGATCTGTGACCCATGCTTGTCCCATCATATCTTTGGCAGTTCACTGATCATTGGGTGGAATAACCGTTTACCGGATGGCCACCAAAGCTGTGGGCTTTATTTTGGCAAAGCTTGAATGGCAACTTACACTTTCTTGACAGCTTTTGCCGTCAACTGGACATTTTTCTGGGCATGGCGGGGTTGTTAGACAACAGCTCAGGACCTTTGTTCCTGAAGGTTCCTGCGCTGATCGACTTTATTCCCGTTGAGTCATATAAAATGAGTCCATTGTGCTCAAACACGCATTGTTGACTTTCTTTCTCACCTTCACGGCTCGTGGATCAAAGGCGAGACCGGAGCTCCAGGAGGAGGTTGAGCAACAGTAAATTTGTGTGTGGAGCACATTCCTCAGCGGTGGCTGAAAACTGCTGTCCTGTCAGAGCTTGTCTTTATGATGGGAATGTAGAAACAAACAGAAACGTCCCGGGTGATTCATCTCTGACACATCGTTATTCTGCTGCTGATCTGGTCCTCTATTGGTGAACTGTTGAACACCGCCCAGGTGAATACACGCCTCAGTCTTGGCTTACACAATACCCTCTTGCAAGGAGGCTTTTTAGCCATTCTTACAAATCCCAGATCAGACCATATATGTTCTGATGTGATAAAGTCTGCAAGACCGACTAAAACTCAACCCTTAGAAAACATTTTCAATATGAACTGAGTTCCATTTAGTCAATCTAGTTGTCTTGACTGTAACCTTCACAGCTTTAGGTCATTATCTCATGATTTGGCCAAGTGTGTGTGTGTGCAGGCTGAAATGGGTCTGGATCTGGTCTAAAAAAAGGTTATTAGACATCTAAAGTTAGTCTGGACCTCACATAGACATCCACATTTAGACTGGAAGACTAAACACTGGTGTACAGAATGAACTGATGACGAGGAAGTAGGAGGTTGAGGATGGAGTGGGATTGATGGATTGTGGCCCCATGCACGATAATGAGTTTGTTGCTCTGATTCGTCGTGGTGAAGAAGGAGCCAAGTCTAAAGGCAAGGCTCTTGATTGATTTACTGATACTTGTGTTCCAACTGGCACCTTAGGTCATGAGACATGGACTATCAGAATCAGAATAAACTCTTCATTGCACCGAGATACAACGAGAATATGTCCATACAGTCATCCGAAAGATGGACGGAGTGCACGTAGCTGCTGCTATGATAGCGCAGCCTTCTAATCCTTTTCAGAATACTTTTTTTTTAGATAGAAAAAGGGACAAAGCCACTAGGAGAGGGTAGTGGCATTACAAAAAAAGATCTCTTCACACCTTGTCCTGACAGGACACGATTTTTGCTTTGTCTAAAAGCTTTTCCTTAGTTTACACATTTCCCAGGAGAAATTGATAAGTCGGCCTGTTTCAAGGCCAACCAGGGAGTCAGATTCAGATAATCCACAATTGTTGATTTATTCAGGCAGATTGTTTTTCTGTCAGCCTTGAGTCTTACTGATCCTTTCAAGGTCTGAAATGGCCAGATTAGAGTGTGTTCTACTGGTCCGTGCTTACAAGCCTCTTCAAGGTCGTTGCTGATGGGTCTCAAAGCCGCAGGTGGCGTGCGCATCGTTCCAGAGCGAGCGAGGGAAACAAAAAAGAATATGACTGAAAGATCGAGATCATGGACACAAGTAGTTGAAATGAGCTCCTGGGGGTCTCCCTCTGGAGGTTTTTCTGAACTTGTGTCACTGGAAAGGGACCCCAGTGGAGATCCAGAACTCACTGAAGGATTTATGTTTGTCCTCTCTGGCCTGGGAACACCTTGGGATCCCCTCAGGAGGAGCTGGACCCAACAAGGAAAATGGAAACCCATAAGTTCAGAAGAGATTGTTTGAAACCTTCCATCGTTGCCGTCATCAGACCAAACTGTCTGAGTGCAGTTCAGAATCAGAATAAACTTTATTATCATTGCACCGAGATACGAGAACATGTACGTACAGTCGTCCAAAAGATGGGCGGAGTGCACTAAGCTGCTACTATAAAAAGCGTGGCCCTCTTATTCTTATTCAGAATAATATTTTGCTTAGATGAGAAAAGGGAAGAAAACACGAGGAGAGACGGTATTAAAAAAAGATCTCTCACACCGTGTCCTAGACAGGGCACGATTTGTGGCATCAAAAAAACCTACCACAGCAAAGCAACATAAACAGACGTTATACATTTACATATAGGCGGTGAAAACATTTAATTTTTAAGGGAAAGTCGTAGTATAGTCCAGAACCCCTCACCCCCCAGCCATTGTCCAGATAAGAGGTGATGTTCATCTTCAGCTCAGCTGAGGTTCTGTTACATGTCCACGGCCTTGGGGAAGGGAGGGGTGAGGAGACAGTCAAAGCATCTTTGTTGTTTTCAAAAAATTCAAGGAGGAGTTGAGATAAGTCCAGCATCAAGGCCACAGTTTGGGTCGGGCAGAACTCGTGAATTGTTGTTTCTGCCTTTTTAAAGTCTCGCTGGTATATATTCCTCTGATGGAACTCCAAAACAGCCGAATTGATCCTTTACGACAAAAGTCGAGCACACGGCTTCTCCAAAATTATTTCCCCTTCATGTGTGCTGCTATAGAGTCCGCAGTCCTGATAACAGCTGCTCCAGCTCCCTGCTGCAGCTCCACAAATTCAGTCTGAGTGCTGTCGAGCTTTGACACATCCACACTAATTCATAGACAATCCAGAATTCACCAGCCAAACAGCAAAAAACCAGTTGTCATCATGAATCCAATTTGTTTC